TTTAGCTTTCATTTGAAATACTTTTCTTAATCAGTGTTAAAAAATTATATCGATAACCATTAAAAAAATATGAAAAGAATTATAATGCCTATTTAGATTTTAAAAATTATTGTCATTTGATAAAATCCAATACAATATGATTGCAATTATATTATTTGACAACTGTACCTACTGTAAAGTATCATCATTATTCAGTGCCTATATAAAGCTATCTGAATGCTCTCTGGTTATTGATTCTAAGCGAAGCGTATTGGTTTTTTAATGATATGTGTGTGTTTTTTTAAATAATGTTTTTGAGATTAATGTTGATACAAATTGTATGTTAGATGCTATAAAGTATAAGTCACAGTGGTAGACCTAGAGGTATATTATAGGCTCAGTATTCTAAAACTATGAACTATCATTTTAAAATAGTTCTAAAGTTGCATTAGGTGGTAAAATAACTTTAAATTGCAATGACTAAAGCTGAATACAACTGAATACTAGAATACATAAAAAATATCTATTTTTAATCTACACGGATTTTTGTTTGCTGTAGTACAGCAACAAAACACAATACCAATATAATATACCACATACCTATCAATTTTCACTTTTGGTTTTAGTTTTGAACAGTTTCTTGTTTATACAACGAACCTAACCTTATGAACGGGCTACTAAAATTGTCTATGGCCCAGGGCCAGAGTGTGGTACATCACTCAACACACCCAGTTGCGCGGCACTGTATGCTTGAATTGCTATTTATGATTTAATATTTCAATGGTAATAATAATATATTGTATAACGTTATATTAAAATACTAGTTTATAATACCATAAATGTTTTTGGCAAAAATTTAATTTATCCCACTGTATTACTTGTATAAAATAAATTACCAAGACAAATCTAAGCATATCATAATATTATAAGCTAAATGAACTTAAAAATAGACTGAAAAAAAATATTCTGCTCTCAGAATCAATTTTCTGATAAACAATTTTTTATCTATAAATTAAATATTAAATATCGATTTATCGTTGTATAGCGGCCATTTCCATGACAAACAGATAAACTCGTATATTATAGCTGTGCGCAATCTCTGGAATTTTAGCATTGGTTAGTTATAATAAAAATATGTTTTTTAATGTCGGTAGCACGCATCTAGTAGTATATTGTAGACACTAGACAGTCGTCAATATAATTGTATTTAATGCATAAATAGTATAGCTAGGAATATTAATTGTTGTATTACTAAATAATTAGGATGGGTGAGGCCAAGCTACGCATCGTTCTGAGGCGACACTAATATTTTTCTATAGAACACCACCACAATCGCAGGCACGAGCAGTTTTCCTTAAATTCGGCAGGAGTGTATAAGTGCGACGGTCGTATTCGTATGAGCAACGACTGTCTCACTGGCCAAGTTTTTTATTTTATAATCATCATATTATATTTATATCAAAAAAAATGTTTCCAGACAAAAACTGTGTTTGAATATTGTTTCAGTTTTTTGGGTGCTTATCTTTAAAAAAAGGACTGTTATGGCATATATTACGTACTTACAGTCAATGAGGTTTAACTAAATATACTGATACCTTAAATTATATGAAATCTTGATAGCCAATCTTATCGAGAAGGAATGAACTTATGTAGACCTGACCAGTGCATATATGGTACCTCAACGAAGCTAAAAGGGTTAATCTAATTTATTTTAGAGAGAGTCGTTAGCTTAGTGTGAACGAGGGTAATGCCAAGGTTTGAGTGCGTGTCGCTTTTAAAGTGTTTCCCATCGGGGTCATCTATCCGTGGTTGAAAACGTTCTGTTCTTTCTGCGTTTTTATGTTTCCTATGCAGGAATTGGGTTTTGGTTTTTTTTTTTTTTGATAGGTAGTGCACAATTTTTAGGAATTCTATCATGTAGGTATATCTAATAATATGTATCATAACAAAAATTAAAATAAACAATTTAATAATTAAAATGGTTATCTAAGAATTAGAAAAAAGGAATAAGACAAGTTATCTGTTCTAAAAACGATTAAAAATACAAATATGTAGCCGATAAAACTGTTTTGCATTGTCTTTATAATTTTCTGTCCAGTAACTTTCGTTGTCGCACGCTCTACGCATAGCGAGTAGGTAAGAGTACATAAATAGGTAATTTCATGAATGAATGTAAGATTCAGAAAACTATGTTTACTACAATTCTTATACTATTATGTCAAGAATACTGGAAACATGTTTATATAATAATCAAAGCATAATTAGTGTCTACATATTACTAAAAATGTAGTATGCTTTCTAGATCATAAAGTCAACATTGTTAGTGAAACCATATTGATTCACAAGTGATCTATAACGAGAAGACAAGAAGTATGAAAAATATTTTCAGTAGTTGAAAGTACTCCGTAAATACAGTAATTATGAATTATGTTTTTATACATCATATCATATTAATACTACTTTAGTAGGTAATCTAAGATTTTTAGCCTTTTAGTAGAGCAATAAAATGAAATAAAGAATGTATGGAATATTGGTTTTTTTTACAATGATGAGTGTTATGTTTTATTGACTGTCATCACTTATCACCTTTTGGAATTAATTTTCTTAGTTTTTATATGTTAATGTAATTTTTTTTTTTTTTTGAATAAAAAGCTTAAATTTTATGTCAGTTGTTGAAATATAAATTGAAAATATTAAAATAAATTATCAACATTTTTTTATGATTGTTTAAAATTCAAAAACACAACATGTATAAATTATTTTGTATTATAAATGTATACCTACCATTCTCAATTTTTTATCTAAGACTTGAAAAACTTATATGAATTCCCGCATAAGCTTTAATAACTGGAAATCAAAATAAATAAATAAATAAAATGTAGGAAATAGATACTTTTTACCACTTCGTATATTAATATTTTAGTACTTGATAAAACTTTCAAAAAATGTAGTCTAATTGAAAACTATTTATATCATGCACTCATATTCTACCGCGTTAGTGGTATATTGTCTTAGGTAATAAAAATAACGTATGATATACTATTATAATTTAGAATATAGTTAATAATATAGGTACACTAAAATATAAGCTAAGTTTATTGTTTATAAAGGACTTGAACGGACTTGACTGTTTCGTATAGGTACATTATTATACTTTACTATACGCAAAAGACATTTTACAAACGTGATTAAATATAATTTTAAGTTACTACCTACTTGTTTATATAGTACTACTAATAGAAAAATAAATTACCAATAGTAATATAAATAAATGATAAAATATACTTAGAAACAGAGGTAGGTACTGTTTCCTACAGAATCGTTTTTCATATGCAATTATTGAGTTCAAATTTAACGTCATATCTATTACAGTGACTTACTCAATTGCCATATTTACTCGAAACCTACTATACTACAGAGCGACTTGTATTGTTTCTTTTCAACAAAAGATGTACGAAATTTTATGAAATTAACAATAATATTATGACACATTATGAATTATGATGGTATTTTTAGGTTTATGTGTAATATAGTAAATGCATACCTAGTTACTATTTTAATGCTCAATGAATAAAATAGCTAAATTATACTCATATTATAATATAATGTACAATATTGTATTAAATAACTTTGTTAATTACCACTTACCATTTAACCATTGATATTCTACTCGATAATGAACCGAGTATCAGAAAAAAATAGTTAAAAATAAGATAAAAGCACTTAAGATCTGAATTAAATGTGTAATTAGTTGAAATAGATCGATCATTATAATAAAAAAGCCTATCTGGCAATGTGCAGTCTAATGATTTATATTATTATCATTTTTTTTTTGTTAAATTGCATAAGTCATAGTTAACCTTGAATTATAGTTACACGCATTCATTCAGACATTCAGTACCAAATCCAGCTTTTAAGAAATTAAATTTATTATATCAGAAGTATAGTTATTACTACTGCCGATAGAAAATAAGTATTGTTCAAACTTTACTCATGAATAACGAAACACTATGTTGTTACTAGGTACATAAGTTTATAGAGAGATAACCTTCATCTTGATTATCAATGTTTTCAAACATTTATAACAAGGACGATTTTGTTATTTTATTAAATTGATCGTTGTTTAATTCCGATGTATTATAAAATGTTAACATGTTCGAAGTGATTTGTGAGTGGAATGAAGGAGTTTTAGGATTTAAAATCAAAATCACCTTTACATACAACTTTTCTAATAATACTTTTCAAGCACATTTGTAAAAAGACATACACATTATTAAAATATTCATTAGCATACTAAATTCAACAAAATTTGAATACACGTATTTTTAATTATTTTTTAAAAAATCGTATGATATGAAGTACTTAGTTGATTATTGTTAAAATTGATGATATGTATTATTATTTTATTTATTATGTAATATATACATAATGAATACAATATAAGCATTGTTCATTTGTATGTGGGTACATAATAGTGTAATACTAACCTAAACTCTACTAAAAATATTTTTAAAAAACAATTATTCTTATTATTATATTTTGAAATTTAATTTCACAATTATTATTGTTAATTCAGTGTAATAAAAGCTGAAAGGACGCCAATGTTGAAAATAAGAAATTATTAATACTAATGTTTAATGTGCAGAATGGAATTTCTTCTCTGATCAGTAGTCCGTATATTTACCAAATGTAACATTTTAATGAATATTCTTAGACATTTTTATACCTTCACAACCTTTGTACATTAATCACCGTTTTTGGTTCATTACTCTTGAATTTGTGTACCCATAGATTAATGTTTTTGTTTTGTAAACGATAGTATACATCAAGATATTCCAAGGTTATGTCAAGAATTATGGAAAGATTTGGTAAGGAAAAATCATCGGCGCGATAACAACATTACAATTACACATAATTAGATTAATAAAATATACTATAATATATTTTTCAATCGGAAGCAATAATAGGGTCTGCAGTAACCAGATTTACAAACAATAAGGACATTAGATATAATGTATATACAATCATTCGTGTTTCGTAATAATAAAATAATAATAATAAATAGTCGAAATAAATAAATGTTGTTCTCTTGCGGTATAATTGACGTGCGCGGAAGATGCATCTGCAGCTATGGGATTACACGACCCGCAACGCACACACACACTCACACACACACACGAGTCGCGATGCAAGTCGTGTCAGCGTAGTCGGAAAACGTCTAAAAAATATGTAAAAAAATGAACAACCGTAAATACCAACACGTTATGTGAAATTATTAGCATATTGCAATACATCTCCGCACTACAGGTATACTAAGACGACATATCTGCCACCCTGTACGCAAGTGCAGTACGGGTAAGCGCACACGCGGGTAGGTTGTGTAAAGTCGATTGTTATCGTTAATTAATTATCACGTTTCGTACCTATCTGACTTGGTTGGAACCGTAGGCCAACTGTTGAGCGTGCTCCTGGACGCTCCTTGCGTAGTGCGCTGGCGGGGCACCGTAGATTCCGGCGTCGTGGGTGGTCAGAGATGGTGGTGACTCGGAAGCCTTCTTGACCAGCTGGAAGATGGCCAGACCGATGGATATGACGAACGAGAAGAACGACAGTTGCAGAGCGTTCCATGCCTTCAATCCCAACACGCCGATGGCGAGCGGGATCAGTGTGAGGGCCTTGAGCATGACGAACACCATGATGGGCATGAGGATCTTCTTGAGCTTATGGCGTTTGCCTGGAACGAGATGGGTGAGCGCGTCGTGAGTACGAGAGTGTGACGAATAGAAAATAATCGCGGATAATGTATCGGTCGTATACGACTGTTGTATACTCACTTCTTGGCTCGGCGGAGCTGGGAAGTCTTAGGGTCAGACCAAGTTCGTTCTCTTCCAAGTTCCTGGGCGACAAGGTGACGGTGGCGCCTCCGAGTTCCACGGACACGTCGCGCTTCTCGATGAGCTCTTGCAGTTGTTCCGTGATTCCCAGCTCATCTCCGTTGTTGCCATCCTGAAGACGTAACAGATTGGAATGAGTTAAAAAAAAAAAAATAATCATAATAATAATGAAAAAGGTCGTTTCAATCGATCGCGTCCTTGAACAGGCGATCCGATGACCGTCGGTAAGTACCTGCAGTTGTCGGTCGTTGGTCAGCGGCGATCCATAAGTGACGGCGATCAATGCGGCGGCGGACAGGAGCAAACACGAGAAACGAGCCATGGCGTGGGTGTGCTTATAGCTTGTGTTTGTAAGTATGTGCGACTACCGACTGTGGTGGTGCGAGTGTGGTGTCTGGTCGTCCGCGTCCTTGGGTTATATACCAGGAACCCCGAGTCCGAAAACTGTCACCAGAGTTATGGGGGAGGGGATAAGTACGGGTCGCGTATAGGATGTCCCCCGTTTAATCACGTTTTCGACGGCTATAGCTGTCCGGAGCGCGTCTGAATATTAATCGGGGCCCCGATGTGTGTCTCGGGCTGGTGAAATTATTATCGATGATGGGTCACGAGAACGCATAACAATATACTGTGTTAGACTGCCACTATTTTTATTATTATGTGTGGCGTGTACTAGCTACAATATTATATGTTATAGATTTTCGCGAATGACATTTTTTTACGTCCCGTTGCCCCCGAAGTCGTTCATTTTTCGGATATTTGAAAGTTTCACGAAATGGAAACCATATAGATGCATAACGGGAAATATGAAAAAAAATCTTCGAGTGCATTATTTTCTCTTCGATTTGCTCGTCAGATTTAAATCTGTTTTTAGTATTTTGGTCACATCAATATATCAGTCGGAAGACATTGAACACATCTAAATGTCTGTGTTATGTATGTTGTGTTAAACAAATATAGCAGAAAATCGTCAAATTCAACCTCTCTGCTTGATTGTTTTGTGGTAATAATAAATTGTAAAGCAAAAAATAATAATATATCACTTATTAATTTGTATAAAAAAAAAAAAAAATAAGATATTGGATTAAAAATAGGAATGTCGTGTGGGCTACTGTATAATATATGTGTTAAATTTGAATTCAATGATAAATCTTCGAATAGAAAAAAAACGATTCTAAAGCAAAGATGGCGTGTGTCTGCCTATACATAGTTTAACAGAAACATATTATGACCAAAGAAATAATTTGTGTTATAATCCATATTTTAATTTTTTTTTTTTTTCATATACATAATACATAATAATAAGTAATTAACACGTGTAGGACAAGCGTTTACTAATAATGTGAAAAAAAAGATTAAAAAATATTGATTAGAACACAACTTATTTCATTTGTCATATATTTCTCTTAAACTATGTATATAGGCAGACACACGCCATCTTTGCTTTAGAATCGTTTTTTTTCTATTCAAAGATTTATCATTGACTTCAAATTTAACACATACATTATGCAGTAGCCTATTATTTTATTTGTCATATTACCTTTCTATCTGTATATTAGTAAGTACATTTTATGATATTATTGATATTAAAGCTATTTATTTTGCTATTAGTATTACATTAATACAGGAGCTTAAATTAACTTTTGCCCAAAATATTGCATTTTAAAATGTGTTGGGGTATTGTGTGTTTAAAATATATTTAATATATTTTCAAGTACTCAAGAATAATATTTTTGAACTACAACAAAATGACTAAAATTTTTATCTTAGTTTAAATATTTCGTTCAAATTTGAACTTAAAATATCTGTAAAAAAAACTATTTAAATATGTTTTGGTTACAGCATGAACTGCTTCTAAGAAACTACTCATTTTACATTTTTTATCCTTACTTATAAAAATGTAACAATTTACAAAATTTTTAACTGCTTAAATAATTTGAGAAATTTCATGATTTTTATGAGTTACTTTTTAACTGTAAATGCTTATATCAAAAACCAAAATCATGCAAATTGATTACATTAAAATTTTTTTATTTACTGGTGAATACCTTATTTCGTCAAAATTTGAAATTCAAACACTTATAAAAATTAATTCAACTTTATGCCTTATGGTAAAACTTTTTTTTTCAGAAGTAGATTGAACAATTTTGTCTTGCATTGTCCAATGTTAGGTATAAAAATAAATATTCTTATGGATTCTTAGCTCAAAATAGTTTGTAAATATTTTTAATTTTGATAAATATTTTCAAAATTCTAACTTCAGACTTCCATAAAATGTATTGTGAATTTGTCCTCAGCCTTTTTTTTTTTTTACTAACACTAATTTGAAAATTATTGTTTGGACATAACGAATATTATGATATAAAATAAAATAAAATACTAATTTAATATCTAACACAAATAATATCTACATTATATCTATGGCGTATAACACAAAAAAGTGCAGGACATTACACCGATAACACGACTAAAATGGTACTATAAATAACACCGGTAGCGGTTTACGATATCACTGCTTTATTTTAATATACCAATGTATAAATTAATTTAATTCTTATTTAGTTTTAGGCCCTGGAGTAATACAAGGATATTCTGTTGTATTGTATTGATATATTGTGTTGAAAAATCGTCTCGTTAGTTTGTTGTTGTTTTAAATAAATCATAAGAGAGACTGGAAATTGGTTTTATAATGATGTGTTTATCGTTTATTTTTTTTGTGTCTGATGACAGACATCAAGCTGTGAAGCAGTAAATTCATATTTTTGACTATTAATTCTGTTGGTGGTTTTTGGTAGCAAGTTGTATCTCATTGATACTTTTGAGAGAATAAAAAATAAAAAATTTAAAGTAAATCATAGGAATATGTGCGCAAATCCAGTTTTTAACCACGTCAATTTTTGAGTTTTTTGTTTTTGTAAATCAATAACCGTAGAAACTTAACATCTTCTCCAAATATTTATTTTATCATTTTATAGACATGATATATTTTGGAACATTTTTAGCTATTTACAGAGGTTTGGTATTTTAAAAGTTGTTTAATAATTAATTCTATACATAATACGCCACCCTACAGTACGGTTGAATTGACTTGTATTGTTATAACTTATAAGGAACATTTTATCATATTGTTACAAATATAATATGCAATGTCTTTGGAAAAAAATAGTTCTACCTACCGTGTTACTATAATATTATTCATGACAGTGTTTTATTTTGGTTACTATTATAATACTATAGTAGTAAAGTTTTCGTTAATAAAATAAGATATGAAATTATTATAAAAATGGTTGTTAAAACATGTAATACCTTATTTACAAAAAGAAAAAATTGTTTTGCGAGCTGCTGCACATCACTTAACCTTTGATAACGTAATTTTTATTTTTTTACCTAAGCAAACGGTTTCATCTCTAATTTCTCACATCAATTAAATTTATATTGGAAATCACGTACACAGTTTTTGAAGTTGGTTTTTTTTTAGTTTCTAAACATTTTTTGGAAAATTAAAAATAATCTACTTATTTTTTAGATATGCACTATTGTGTAGAAATTCTAAATTACCTACCTTGCAAACACGTCTGTGGTTATTAATCTGGGAGTTAGTTTAAATAGTAAATCAATTTAATGAAACAACACTGTCATTCTAGAATACCTACTTAAGTATTGGTTATAATGATGAAAAATGTTTTAAGCTGGCTGTACTATTATAGTTGGGGCGTAATTGATGCCTATGTTACAACTTATAAATTATAAAACTACAATTTTATCTAATTACCAAGTTGATACTCGTACATACATCGATGCATAGTTTTTATAACCACCGTCATAGCTTATTGGAAATGTGTTGATATTATTTGTTTAAAACAATATTTTACCATTAAATGATATCGCTTATTAGTTCAAAGTGTTCATTTTAACTACGCGTATGCCATTTACAGAAAATAGACATAATCATTTTGATTATTGTAATAATAAAATACCTAATATGTTAGTTATTTGTTTATAGGTACATAATAAATTATCATGGATTTGTTTTAAAAATTAAGGAAACCAACAAAATATATATCAAAAATAAAATTTTTTTTTTAAATGCATATTTGGAATTTGATGAGCATATCAGTAATATTATAATGCTATACTGTAATTGATAAGTATTACTAATACTAGGCACAAAATAACATTAGAAAATAGTCGAATACAAAAAAGAAATTTATAACTATTCATTTTTAGATAATTCTGTGCCATTTTCTATATGGACACATAATAATTACCGATTGTTTCAAGAGAAAATATAGAAAGGGTTCGACGGAAGTTCTAAATTGAATTATTAATTGACGAACACAGAGTTAGGGCCAATTTCGATTGTGCAGTTGTGAATATTGATCAGCGAAAATGCGACAATGTAATATCATCACGATTGCCATACATACCTACGAGTAACTTCATCCTGTAACACTAAATTATATTTCTATAAAGTAATATTAATTGATTTCCCTTTTTTTAAAGTCTGAATAACTATTATTTGTAATTAATTATTTAATTTAAAATTAACTGTTTAATTTAAGTCACCTAAGCTTCATGTCTTGAGCTCTTGAGTTGGGCTTTACGACTTAAAAAAATTTAGTCGTAACTAAACCATTCAACAGTTATTACACTTTCGTTATCAGATTTTGTTGGAACTTCGCCAAATATTTGTCTATTTTATTATCGACTCTAATCGAAATGTTAGTTTATTTTTAATGTCGAATTCCTATAGATTATTTTTAAGTACTGATTTGTACTTAATAAATTATACACTTAATCTGTGCACATTATGCTTAATGTATATGTACTATGTATATTTTTTGTCCAACAATTTAAAACTGTTTACGACCTATTTTACGAAAACTACCAAAGATATTATTACAAAATTAATTCATGATTTTTATAAATACCTATTCAAAATTTGGTGTCATTTAAATTTGTTACTTTTAAATGTAGTGAGTAATTATAAATAGTTTGAAAATTATAATGTATTAAAAATAATAATTTTGAAGTAGGTATGTTAAGTGGTGACCTACCGGCTACCAATATGTTTAACATAAATATTTTTTTCCCAAACACATCGAGTATGTACCATTGTATTGAGCTTAGTTATTTTATAATTTAAAATTTTTATAAGGTATTATATATCAATCTCAAATGAATTATGATAAGGATAATTTAAAAATGTATTGTACGGATACTTCATGAATACTAACAAATAGAAAGAAAACACGAACAGGATACGAAAACTGCGTATACTAGGACGTAGGTATATCACTACACGTGTATAATATTGACACGATTGAACTATTCGCTCACAATAATATGATTATAAAAAAAATATATATTATTTTAAATATCACACTGCAGGTACGATGTACTTCGAGACAAGAGTAAATTTTATTGCGATCTCACATAAAACGTCAAAACGATTATCAAAATTATTAATAGGGAAATGCTGAATAAAGTGTCCAATGAAAAGATAATCTATAATATTATAATGATATGTCTCAAAAAGAGACGCACATATTAATTGGTACTTCAAACGTTAGAGTGGAACTGTTAATTTTTCAGTAACCGTTGAAGTACCTTTTTGTTTTAATTTCATCCATGTACAGCTGAGAGCTTGGCTATGGTACATTTCGTATGCATAACTAATAATTTACTATAAATATTCATCTGTTGTTTGCTAATGAAGATAGTTATTTTAATTTCAGTAGGTAGTTTTTATTATTTTTACAACGATTGTTTCGATAGCTCATATTTTTTAGTAATAAAGTTTTGAGTAGTGTTCATTAAAAGACAGAATACAACTTTTAGTTTTTAATTTTTAAGACATTGCATATGCGACACAGTCGTAAAAAAATTACTCAAAACTTAATTTAAATTACGCGATTAGGTCCTCCTACAAATAATACACTTAACACACTATAGAACAGCACGCGTCGAACAGCACCGTTAAATAAGGATTTGTGCGTCTTGGAATTTGTGCTCATTATTTTTGTCAGCCCTTCCTCCCCTCTAAAAAAAAACCTGGGCCTGGGATAATAGTTTTATTGTTGCTTTTTTAATCATGCAATTCGTGCCAAATAAATAGATTTTAAACAAGACTGAGAAATTTAATGAGGGATTTTTGTTTCCACTTCAATTTAATCAAAACAAACTATTTAAAATAACGTGTACTTTAATAAATATAATTTAAATATAGTTGGAAGAGTACCAGATTAAGTAAATCACATTTAACCATGAAAACTTGACAAGTTGGTAATGATTTGTAAAAATAAAGACGGACTACGTGGTTTTTTACAAGTTATTTATAAAAAATAATTCGAATTAAATATTACGTATTTCTATACACGAATTAATCCTTTGATATGCCTTCATACTTTTATGAAAGTTAATTTTCTGTACACTAGAATTATAGTTTACAAGGTTTAACAGTATGACTTGACAAATTAAATAACTTTTGCTGTTCTAATCAATGTCACATTTTTTTTTTACGTATTTGTATAATTTATAGACGCTTGCGCTTCAAGTGTAATATCCAATTTTTACTTTTACCTATTTTTTATACTGAAAATGAAAAATGTACAGTTGTATTAAACTCTTTTGTAAAAATCAAAATAGCCAATTGTACCTAAATCTGTTTTTAGAAAAATGTTGAGGATAAAAACGTTTATTTAAGTCAAGTAGTTTATTTTTTCCAAATTTTTAAAATATCAATACATTCATATTAAAGTATATCATTTTGAAACAAAACAACTTTTTTCAAAAACATTCTTTTTAGAATCTTTAATTATTTATTATCCGTATTCCTATAGAATTTTCATATTTTTTTTCAAACATCTAATTAGTATAAGCTTTTTAATTTTTCAATTTTTCAAGTTACTATGCACACTATTATATAGTTATATTAACATATCTTAAATGTATGGCTTAGGTCATCGTTCCTACAGTTTTTTTCTCTTAGTTATGCCTATCCAACCTTAATATCTTTAATAGCTGTATAAGACTTACTATATATTATATATTATGTATTTATGTCAGTGTTTATGTTTCACAAAGACATCTACAATGCACAATTAAATACCCTGCATGAATTTCATCTATAAAAAATCAAAATGATGTACTATCTACATTTTACAGAACAGTCCTTATCAGTCGTCTTGTTTTCGATTACCTCTGCCTAAAACAATATTTTCACTTTATTGTGGAAACGATAGCTACAATTTATAGTGTTGGAAAAATATTATATTTCCATTTTACTTTTATTCCATATCCTTACTAATTAGTACATTATTTTAAGATGGAAAGCTTAAGTAGGGTACTTGTTTTGGGTATCAAATGTTTAAATACTAGTTTAAAGTATCACGCCTGTACTCATTTTCGTTCATACGCCACGTGTGACGTTATCTATGCGACATACATGTGTTTTTTCGTCATTTTATTTTCAGCCGTAAATACGCAGGATATGAATATACTGCAAACAATACTCGATTATTTCATCCGGAATCTACAATAAATTATATCTATGGAAATAATAATATGTGATTTTTTTTAATTGGTATTACTTGTTTAAGTTTACCAGCATATATGGGGAATAAGATAATAATCAATTTGTTTCATAAAAACATAATTAACATAACGTTGTGTTTGGTGTAATACCAGTAGGTACCTATTATCTGTGGATTCAACTTAAATTTTGGCAATTTCAATAAAACTCAATCGTACACAAAAATGTTAGATTTTAATCGTTGTTTCTTTTTCCAATCAATACAAATAATAAATAAATAAATAATTAAATTACAAACGTAAAATAAATATAAAAATAAAATCAAAAAACAATACACAATATAATAATATTATGTCTGCGTAAGCTCGCATTGTAATCGCTTACAATCAGTGCCACGATGCATCACTGCTCGGGCTGCTGTGCGCTGTACGCCCTGGCGTGAGCGTATCCGTCGTGGTGGTGTGTGTGCACTGGCGACGGGTAGTGCAATATTTCCACACCGACCACTTTGGGCTTGGTGAACCTGTAGATGACCATTGCGGCGGACAGGACCAGCGATAGCAGACCCAGGGTTAAAGCCTTCCACGTCTTCAACGCGATCAGGGCGATGGCGATAGGGATGAGCACGGTGGTCTTGAACTTCAGGCCCAAGAGGAAAGGGATGACTATTTTGCGGACGAAACCACGGCCTGAAAAGTGGGTCAAATTTAGTTTTTTTTTTAATTTTTATTTGGTTTTCACGAGTTCCATCCGTTACAATTATCAAACGAAAAACAAAATAATAGTGTCGTATTAGCAACATTATTGCAAGGCATCGTAATATACTTTTATATTGCCAAATATCTTGTACAAATTATTCAAATGTATGTTTTTTGAATATTATGTATTTTTTTTATCAAGGTGAAAAATACTTAATATTTTAACGCTGATAAAAATGTGATCAAAAAAGAAAAAAGTTCGGATCTGTGTAAATAAATCGTTCTTCAGAGTGTTAGTTTTAATATTTTGATATTTTAATATATTTAAAAACGTGAAATTTAAATAATGATACTGTTAAAATGTCAACAATCTAACTTTCAAATACAAATAAGTTTTATAAGTAGTACTGAATAAGTATTAGTTTTGTACTTCCATAATTTGTGCAATGAATACATTTGGTTTCCGTTTAAGCTGCGTGAAACAATATGAACTAAATTGATCGAGAAAAATTAAGATTGATGACAATCATGAAAATAAAATGTCTAAAAAAATATTTCTGATACTCTGATGATAATATAGTATTCGAACACTTTTTGCGCAGTTAGTTTTCGACTAGGAAGTCCGAATTACCTACAAAGGTTCATAATAATGTTATAGGTACAGTAGGTACACGAGTCTTACTTCGGCCTTGTTGGGCGACGGCGGAGTGGCCTTGGTCGACCAGTGGCATTTTCACTTGTCCGGCGGACGATCCAAGTTCTTCGGGCAGGCTGACATGGAGCTCGTGGGTGCTCAGAAAGTCGTCGATTCTGTCCAGCATGCGGAGTGCCGAGTTGCCGTCGACGGCCTTCTTATATTCCTCGCCGTTGGGAATCTGCGATATAGAGTACGCATGATATTATGATATTGATATAAATATCTACCACGATACGAACACGCCCGGTAACCACGACCACGGTGTAAACCTTGGTGCGTAAACGACTCGAATTTGTGTTGTTAAATATCATACCGAGTTGGCGACTTGATCTTCGTCATTGCTGTCGTGGGTGCGTTTCAGTGACAGGTCTCTGGTCAGTCTGAACTCGGCCTTCTCCGCGGTCTGGCCAATGAACTTGAGAAGTTTGGGCTTGGCGCACGTCCAATCGGTACCGCAGTCGTCCAACAGTTTTCCGCCGAATTCCAGAGCGGTTTCGGTCGCCTACACGCAACATAATTTTGCATTAATACATAAATCGCAATGGAAATAGTAAAAAAAAAAAACAATTAATTATGATGGTCGCCTTTTTTCGTGATAATTATTATTGTTTCGGTCGTCGCCTTATATTTTACCTGAGCGGCGGCGAACAGTGACAGTGCAGCGACGCAACATAACACGGAAAGACGATGCATCGTGGAGCAGGTTGATCGAACGAATGAACGCTCTGGACACGCGGTCCCGTGCTTATAATGTGGTGTGCCGCAGAATTATCGATCGCCTTCTGAATGCCTAATCGTACCACCGTGGCCACCGCTGCAGAATGCGGACGACACCCTTTCTACTTTCTTCGGCCGAAATTTTCTCAAATCACGTGCCGATTGTAAACTTACCTACTATATTATACATCGATGATCCTTTTTTGGTTTCGATTATTGGAACGCCCGTGAACGTATACCGGTGACCGGTCAAAATATCACCGAAAAAATATTTCGTGAGCATTGAGTTCAATACGGCTACATATAATAGGATCTTAAATATGCAAAAATAATATAACAATAGGTTGATCCATAGTATTATTCGACTAGGTAATTAATTGGCGCCTGTGTTTTATTTGATTCTGTGTCAAGTCAATACAAAAATAATATCGACTGTTCTAAATGTTAATGTTAAAAAAAAAAATGTGTATAATTGGTCAAGTCATTCATTTTTATGTTAACTACATATTGTAGCATATAGTACTTATATTGGAGTAGTATTGTATTTTGATGATTTTAATGTTATATTAACAACAACAAATTACTGTTGTAAAAGACTTTGTGGTTGAAATATTTAGAAAAACGTATGACAATGTATTATTTTCTTGTGCTATACATACGATATTATATTGATACGTTTTTAAAAAATAATTTCTAAAAAGATCGTACATGAGATGCTTTTTTGAAGTTAATCGTTGATTTAACCTCGGGAATCTCGAATACCTACCAGTTATATTGATGTTGTTATTATAGCATCTATATAATAATATATAATATTTTTTTCTCGACTTTCTATACACACATACCAATATAATATAAAAATGACGTCAAGTATATCAGGTACCTGATTCATGGTGTTTAATGTATTATACCTACCTCTGAAACCCAGCACACTAAGTACAGATAATTATATCTAATAATTATGATATGCCTGCACAGAGCGATTTACCTAACATAATGTAGGTAGCCCTTTGCTCTTTAATGCATTTGTTCACATTTTGATTTTTAGACCTATTTGAGTATACCGAAAGAAATATATTTTTCAAATTGAAGGTATTTCGATTTTATAAAATTTAAGTAGTTTCCTCGGGGGTATGTTTTGTTTATTTAATTTTGAAGTTGATGTATAGAACAATAATGTATGTTATTATTAGTTTATGAATTATTAAACTATATAAATATATAAATACTTATTCTGATGACAATTCTTAATATTAATTTTACATAAAATTTAAAATATATTATATAATGTAATACATAATATTACCTATTTAGTCAATCATATAATATTCATATCTATTTTATAAATTGATATAAATTATTATTATTTCCAAACAATCAAAGACCTTTTTGAGATCTTTTTAAACATATCACGATGGATTACTATTCTCAGACCTTAGTCATCATGTTTAGAAGGTCTTAAATTACTCTTTTGAATTTTGTTTGCTTTTTATTATATATAATTTTTTTGTTATAAGGATTTTTGAATGTTTTTTTGTATCTACGTTTTACAGTTAAAAATTACCTACTGTGGTTTTTATTTGAACTGCCACAAGACATTCATTAGCTATAGCATTCAAAATCTGAGTAATAACTAGAAATAGGGTATTCAAGTTTAATTGAAAATTCCGAAAACCCGAACATAAATAAATAAGTTCATTATTAAAGAAAAAAAATCAGATTGGACGTGGTTGCTGAATTATCGTCTATACATATATAATTAATAATTATTATGTATAAATAACTTAGCTATCGTAACTTCAATGTATTATAATTTATTTTTTTGCCATACAGCTCGCATATTATACAAAGCGATTTTTACAATATAATATTATTATTTACGATTTTTATTTTTTAGAGTATGTAGGTATAATATTATAATACATTGCGACTTTACGATTGTTCTGCAGCTACGTCACGTTAAGTACACCTGATAGGTAATTAAAATAACTCGCAATGGTTATATATTGTCTGTCAGGAAATAATGAAAATTGTTTAGTATTCGAAATCCGATGTAATACAATGCGTATCTCAGTGACGAATAGAGCGTAATAGTGGCATTTTAACTGTACATGTAGTTTAATTATTCGACACAGATATTATCATCGACAATCATGGCAATGCGACTGTTAAAACTATAAAGATGTCAGCTGTGTTTTTTAATAATACCTAATGAAAATCATTAACATATAACTGAAATATTAAAATATGGCAGATAGTAAAATAGAAATAGTTCTAGAAAATATGCTTGGAACGAAGTACAATATTACTATACATATTAAAATATATGTACGATTATTTGTTTAATTCGAGTTTAAACTTTGGAGTTAAATAGGTTAGATAAAATAGGTACCTAATATATGGCTATATTATACCACAGTATATCTGTTGAAAAATAATTAAAAATTAACATTTATATACAAGATCTTTCTAGACCATTATTTCGCAATTAATTTGTATATTTTTAATTTAATAGATTAAACTCACTAATCTACTTGTGATATATTTATTTTTACCTGACAAAAGTACTCAGTACTTATCATATAACAAAATTAAAATGTTCAAAAAATTTAAACAAATTTAAATACATTTAAATCTTGATTATTTTTGTACTAAAAATGTATAGAAACTTCAAAATCTGACTTGAACCTTTTTAACATGGTTATTTAATATTTAAACTTCTACAAAAAAAAAACATAATATAATCATTTAATATTATACCTAAATATATATTTTATTATGATTTTATGCTTTCAATATTAAATTTAATCTCAGTAAGTTGATTACCTAGTAAATTAATTAAAGATAATTCAGGAGTCGAAATATAAATACATTCACTATAGGTATAGTAATGTAAAATATAAAATATTCTTTTTATAGTATCTTTATACTGCTATAATATCGCTAATAGTCATTACTCAATCAGCCAATTAGCCCCCATCCCTGAGAGGATTTGCATATTTGTTCGTAAAGCAAATATAATAATTATGATCCGATACGTTTTGTTATATTATCAAAATTAGAAATTTAAGAACTTTTGTCTTATGACTATGAGTATCTAATTTGTATGTTTTTTTTTTAATGGATATGTTGTCATCGTTCACAAATGTGATTAATTAAATATGAACCGATATTATTTAAGCACCTATTTTATATTTTTTGTCCAGACTATTAAGATTTTAAGCACACCTTCTTCTAATATAAAATTGTATTTCATTGTGTTTTAATATTATAAAAATGTCATTATTGTTCATAATTTTAAGAAAATATAAATCAAAACTATTTAATTAAATAATGTATTGTAAAATAATCAAAATAATAGAACATAGAATAGCTAATAATGATTAAAACAAATTTAGTTTTTTACCTACCGTCATTTTAAGAACGTAACAATATAATAGTCCATTATATTATACCGAATGGGAATTTTCAAAACATCACGATTTACGGCTCAGAGTATGCAATGTCTTTGACACTCATGTTATAGAAATTAAGTGTGTTTTAAATTATCCGCCGGTGGCTTGATGATTTATGATATTATATGATATTATTAGATACATCAGTAATGTGTGCCGTGACCTCATAATTAAAGAGACAACAAAACGTTGTTAAGAGGTCACTTGGCATATTTAAAAAAAAATAACCGCGAACTAATATAAATTGATGTATTATACATTTGATTCATTATACTGTGTACTAATTACTGGCGCTATTTGATAACATGTAATAATTTTGAAAATATTTATAGTTATAGTTTATTTAAAGAATTCGCTTCTTCTTCAGTGATAAGTTTTGAACAAATTCTTTTTTCAATTTTACCAACAATAATAAATTATAAATTATAATAGAAATAGGGTCTTCAAATAACCAGCTACTAAGGTACATTATATTGGGTGTTAAATCATTTATAAAAATCCACTTGTAAATTCCGATAAATGCATGGATTTTACAATGGTTTGTGTTTTTTTTTTAAATATTTTTTTTGTCTTTCATCACTTTTCGGAGAAGTTAAAATGCTTAAATTTTCAACTTCGAGAGTGGTTTCTAGTAAAACAAAAAAAATAGAGCTCAATTGAACAAATATCGTTTATGATCGTCTGAACTTACAAATGTAAATGTTCACAAAATTGAATATTCACTCGTAAAATAATGATCTCTTTTATTATTGGTAATTCAAAAAGTGTTAACCGTAGAAGCTTGGATTATACTACTGTTTCTTAAATTATCGTAATCTACACTCAATACGATTTTTAAAATATTAAGATTCAATCTAAACCTAATATTAATTTTTGATTTCCAAATTTATTCAGTTTTTTTTTTAATGTGTTGAAAAAAATGTTTTTGCACAGCCAAAAAACTTAAAAATGAAAATCAAGATTCCACAAAACATATTCATTCAGCAGTTCAAAATCATTTTTGATAAATTGACACAATTTTTTCTAGTAAAATAAATTTCAATAATGACAATCTATCTATGCCATAAAATATACTTAGTTAATATAGACTGACAGAAGGTCTTCACTGGGAATCGTTTTTCGTAAACAATGACCTATCATTGAATTAAAATTTAACAATTAAATTATAGCGATTTACTCAAAAACGAGGTATACTCGACACTTATATTGTACAGTAGAGCGGTTATTTACTTTCCTTTTTTTTTTTTTGTCATACGAGTTAAATAAATCATAATTTTATAGATAATTAAATACCTAATAGTCACACTAGATCTCATTTCGTGTGCGTGATCATTATATTACATGTTTTATATTTATATTTTTAGTATTATACTGTTATAATACATTTTTGCATATTAAATACTGTTATAATTTATTTTTACATATTACACAATGTGAATATTTGATGAGTACTGATGAACACCAAAACTGTAAATTAATAGAGACAGGAATAATGGTATCATGTGAACCACATGTTTAGCTCCTGTATACATTAGTTAACTTTGGAGTACTTAAATTTTTAACTTAAGATTTTTACCAAACAGATTGACAGGTT